AAAATGTATATGATAAATATAATAATTTAAAATATTAAAAAAATTAATAACGTTGATTTTTTTAATATTTTAAAACTTTTAATTTTTACTATTAATTTATTTTAATACTTAATTTCTCCAAAAGATGGCAGCAATGGTCATTTTCTCAATATTACGACGAAATATTAATATTTTCCATATTTCAATTTTAAATATGATATTTGAATAGTTTCTGTTTTAAATATTTATAAAATAATATATTTAAAATGTATTTTTCCTGTTAAAAACGTTTAAATTGTAAATCAAATAAGCTTTGATTTATATTTTAAATTTTTATACTTGTAATAAATAAGAGAATTTTTCGATGTAAAATCTCTATTAAAATCAATTAAAAATTATTAGTTTATAATAAAGTTTCTTCCAGTAAAAATATATATTACATTAAAAAAATTGAAACATGATGTGACATGTGGCTCCATCTGATGATGAAATTATTGACTATTTATAAAAATCTATTCTTATGTACTGTACTTATAAAAGCTCTTTATTTAAATCACAAGTGAAATCAAATGATTAAAAGTACTTCATTCTAAAACAGTTAAAGGCAATACCACTTTATAAAGGGCAAATCCCATTTATAAAACAGTTAAATTCGATATCACTCGTGTATTTATGGAATTTTTTCAAATATTATTGTATATAAAATTATAAACCTTATTTCTGTCATCATTTATCTTAACTAAAAATAAATTTTATCTCATTCTTAACAATGTAAACAATATTTCAACATCAAAAATTTCATCGTTGCTATATTTAAATCAAATATGTTGCACTCGAGCATGATGTCCGTCCTGTTCTTCAGTTTTATTTAATTTAAAAAGATAATAATCAATTAATATGTTTATATAAAAAGAGGTTATTTATTTAAAGAAATCAATAAAAAAATTACTATATTTTTTTATTAAGTTTGGTCTTTATAAGTGTCTTAAAATAATATAACCTTTTATTGATGTCGTATAGTTTAATAACAATATTCCTTTTGAACATATTTATTTTGACACTATTATATTCCAATATTGTTTGTTCAGCTGTTGTCAGAATACGTGAATATTCGACAAGTGGGTTTGGCTGTCAATCTGGCACAGATGCATCTCTTATTCTGAGTTTACAAGGATATTCCATCGAATCAAAATGGACACGTTACGAATGATTTAGAACTGTCTTCGCTTGAATTTTCAATTCGATAACAATAATAATTCTGAAATTTTAATCTTTATAAGTGTTATATTAAATAATATAAAACTGTATCATTGGTAAAATGCTCTTTCTTAAGAGGAAAAAAAATGATCGTGTAATAACTTAATTAAAGCGTGTTATCGTTAATTATAAAATACATACTAGAACGAACCAGAACACTTAACATCATCTCAGAGTTCAGCAAGTAAATGTGCAATCTTGTCAACTTGTTTATTGCCAAATAAATACTTGATTCAATCAGCAAGCTAACGATTGCTTTTGGGCAATTCCTAATCTACATTGTCAAATCAATTGTTATAAAGTTAATTAGGATTATTGTATTGAAAACTAATAACACGATACTACAATAAGCTTTTCTAATTGAATTTTTTTTTTTTTGAGTTTATTTATGAAATTTCATATATTTAGTTAATTTAATCAATTGTTATACTATTCAGAACTGTGGGGACTAAGAAGGGGAGTACCAAGAAAAAAAGTATCGTGCCAACGACTGAAAGATATCCAACCAAACTCATATAAAAAGTAATTTTTAAGGTACTAGATAAAGAATAGATTGCTTTTCTCCCCGATTTGGTGTTGTGTCAGACAATGAGTTCGCTGTTCACTTTGTTCAACAGTACATTCACTACTCCTACACTTTTAACCTAATCAAAAAGAGATTATCCATCATTTGGTTTCTTAGTGGAACAAGGATTGAGTTCTACGAGTCCTCTCTCTACTCGGAAGTTTTTCAACCGATCTAAGCACATTGCTAAGCTTTACGATAAATCTCCACATAGTACAAAAGCTCTCGGAAAAGCAAAAAATGTCTTTTATGAAGAACTTTCTACTCCAGAAATTTTAACGTTTCTCTCTTATGGATTCTGCTAATTGGTAGCTTGACTAATAGACTGGCCAGCGTTTAGGTTTCAGAGTTTTGTTCACGTGTCTAACACCTAAATAGAGGCTAATTTCTCATAGATTTTCAGGCAGGCATCAATTCTTTAGTAGATTGCCCATGCAGATCGCTGCCTCGCCCTATCCCATCAACCCAATCCGATCCTATTAGCCTAATAATCTTAATCGGAGAAGTTCCTTTATAGACGTCTGAAGGACAATCGTTTAAATAGACTTTCTTTCCATTTTCGTCAATTCGCTTATTAACCTAACAAGTCTTTTTTGGACTATTGACATTAAAAGGGTCAACAGAACTCAGGGTCATCAGGCTTATCGCGAGTTTGGTTAGATCCATAATGGGTACCAGATGTGAGAAACACTAACTGACACCCCATTATCTGGAAAAGACCATCCCCGAAAATTTCTGAGGGTTTTAGATCGCTTGTATTCATACCTGGGTTTCCAAAATGATAGGTTAACGCCTTAACCTCTTTGGCTAACCTGGCAAGTGTTGTGAGAATCTTTACACAATTTGGTTTCCCAAAATGAGAAAGTCCTAGATGTCAAAGAAATTGCATTAGTCGCTTTTCTGATTATGTTTTTAATAAACCCTTTTTTGAGGCTTTCAAATATGTTGCACTCGAGCATGATGTCCGTCCTGTTCTTCAGTAAATTGATTTTATGCCTCATTATTGCAGTGTAGGGATTTCTTATTTCAGAATTTTTCTGAGAGCATCTACCGTCTGAGTCTGCTCTCAACTTTCTTAAGGGATCTTAATAGTTTTACGTGGTATGCCTAGGGATACTGTTCTGATGTTGAGAAATTTCTCAGAACTCTGACAACCCCTTTCAAAGACGCTTTTTTTTCCATCTCTTCTACCATACTCATTATGGATTCGGCCAGATTTACATTGGGATCGGCAAGGTGATGACATATCCAGCACAGATTAGTTACGAAAAACTCTTGGGCGTTGGATGCATGGATTCTTCCCGGGTTCCCAAAACTGTAGGCTGGTCCTTTAATTGCCTTTGTCATTCGGACGTTAATTTCAAAGGAGCCTGTTTCATATGCAGAGATGGTGCAGGCATAACAGCTTAAATATCATTTCTGAAAAAACTAAGATCGTTCCTTTCACTCGCAAGAGGGGTTCGAGAGGCTTTTTCTGAGTCTCTTCTCTGTTTTTATATTTTTATTTTCCTCTCCATCTACCTCGTGGACTCTAAGAGAACTTTCCAGACTATGGGTTTGGTTATACCTCTAGAGAAAACCATATAGCCAAGAGATCTTTAGCTTCGATCAAGTATCTTGTGGTAATGCTTGACTCTATTTTCCGAGCGGTTAAGGCACACTCAGAATCTGAAAACAAATCCGGTTGGAACGAAAAATCTCGGAATTTTCGGGGGTAGTTTGTCCTTGATATGTCGAGTCCTCTCCCTAACCACCCCATTCTGGACTGGCCAAACTTACGACTGGCTTGTAAAAGGCTTTCTTAGTGCCCACAGGACATCCTTCCCTAGTCATCTAGACGGTTAGTGTGATTTTTCATCCATAGGATTTAACCTTGTTTACAGACAGATCAAAAACTAATAGAGGCACACGGCTGGTATTTGTGGGTGACGTTTAGAAAGGAGTTTCTTTGTCTCTCTGAATAATTCCTTATTATGTTTGAAACCAGTGGAAAAGAATTCCTATTATATATGAATTGATTTATAAAGTTAAATTGTTTATTAAATTTTGATCCTATTTTCTTTAATTAATTAATCGCCTATTAAAATTTTCATAATGAAAATTAGAACATCGATTAATTAGATAATTTCATAGAATAAATACAAAGTAAATTTGATTTTAACATTTATGAAGATATTTGTATTTACAGCTTAACTTTCATCTATTCTTTGGAAGAAATAAATAGAATTTCATTATTCAAAAGCTAACATTTACGAAGTTAAACAATCTCATCAGTTTATCTCGTAGACTAACATAGCCTTAAGCGTCATTTTTGAATTATTAATCGAAAACATTCCATTAAATATAAGCTTTATCAATTAATAAAATATCTATTATCTTATAATGGATCTGAAATATAAGAAAGACACCCAAAACCTTCTGTATCGTTCAAATAAACGATCAAATATCGAAATATTTTTAATTAAAATAAACTTTAAACTAACTTAACTGTAAATAAACACACAAAAAGTATATAAATAAAGCAAATCGATCCTTAAATTTGTTTAAAAATTCGATTTATTTATCAATTTTCTTGTATAGTGCTTTAGTATTTGCTTTAACAATTACCGAATAAACGTAGAATGTGGCTCCATCTGATGATGAAATTATTGACTATTTATAAAAATCTATTCTTATGTACTGTACTTATAAAAGCTCTTTATTTAAATCACAAGTGAAATCAAATGATTAAAAGTACTTCATTCTAAAACAGTTAAAGGCAATACCACTTTATAAAGGGCAAATCCCATTTATAAAACAGTTAAATTCGATATCACTCGTGTATTTATGGAATTTTTTCAAATATTATTGTATATAAAATTATAAACCTTATTTCTGTCATCATTTATCTTAACTAAAAATAAATTTTATCTCATTCTTAACAATGTAAACAATATTTCAACATCAAAAATTTCATCGTTGCTATATTTAAATTATTATTATTATTATCTACTCTGATCTATATCTTATCTTTTATTTATTTACTTTAAAATAAGGAAAAAATAATGATAAATTATAAGAGTAAATCTTATCAATCTTCCTTATTTTATTCTATAATTTTAATTTATATTTCTTTTCGAAATTATTCAATATTATTGTATCAATGATATTTATCATCTTGTATTAATTTTATCAATTTTTGTATGGTTATTTTTATTATGTTATATATTTTATCCCATTCGTATCTCTTCTATTTACATTTAAACTCGTTGTTTTTCCTCCTCTTTCTCTTCCAGAAACCATGAGTACTATCACATTTCTGGCAGCACACCCATTAGTGACTGGCACTTTAGTAGGATCAATTCAGTCAAAAATTAAACAAACAGGTATTATTTAATCTAGTATACAACTGGAAAAAAATTTAATTCGGTGTTAATTATAATGTAAACATTTTTGGAAGAAGCACTTTGAAATTTCTTTAAAGAATACACTTATTGGTAAACAAACACTTTTCTGTTGAAAACGTCGAAAAAAAATTCGTTCTTCAAGAAATTTGAATGAGGCTGAGATTTATGCAGAAAATATTTACATTATAATTAACACCGAATTACTTTTACGTTTTCTTTTAAAAACAATTACGACATAATATGCTTACAGGTCTTCAAGGAGGATACTAAATTCTGCTGTTTTTTTATGCTGTTTTGAGCAAGAATTGGTCACTTCTTGGTAAAAAAGTGGCCCGATCTCTGGTAGAAAAAACTAAAAAATTCTCTTATCAAGTTCGGTTTGATGAAAAATTCTGTGAAAGGTATGGACAAAAAGGAGAACACTTTGCTTACCCGAAAATGCATTGTTTCATTCTTAACCTAGGAGTTATTTCTAATGAACATGGACAAAGTTTCCATCAAATTCTTTCTCAAATGGAAAGGCAATATATAGGAAGGTGGAACGAGAACGTGTTAGCGAATTACTGCTGAACTCTAAGCGAAAGATTTCGGAAGAAGAGTATAAAAAGAATAAAACATTTCATTAAGTTGTTTCAGGTTTTAGCCGTGTAAAATTATGAATAAATAATAATTAACATAAATTTATTTGTATTTAATTAGCCAATTAACAATGTATGTAGCCAATAAATATGATATTTTGAACAGGAAATATTTTCCTTTAAGATGGATAGAGACTAAGGACCCGATTCGAGACTAGTGGATGATGGATGATCGATGATAGGTTAAATTCCTATATATTGGGTCCACATCATTCTTCTTAGTTTTACTTTGCACCATTGCAACATCTTCTCTTCTTTCTCATCTCTCCTTCAGAGATCCTCTTCTTTCGCATCTTCTTTCTCTTCTCTTCTTGGGAGATCCTCTTCTTTCGCATCTTTCTCTTCTCTCCTTTGGAGATCCTCTTCTTTCGCATCTTCTTTCTCTTCTCTCCTTGGGAGATCCTCTTCTTTCGCATCTTNTATTCAATATTATTGTATCAATGATATTTATCATCTTGTATTAATTTTATCAATTTTTGTATGGTTATTTTTATTATGTTATATATTTTATCCCATTCGTATCTCTTCTATTTACATTTAAACTCGTTGTTTTTCCTCCTCTTTCTCTTCCAGAAACCATGAGTACTATCACATTTCTGGCAGCACACCCATTAGTGACTGGCACTTTAGTAGGATCAATTCAGTCAAAAATTAAACAAACAGGTATTATTTAATCTAGTATACAACTGGAAAAAAATTTAATTCGGTGTTAATTATAATGTAAACATTTTTGGAAGAAGCACTTTGAAATTTCTTTAAAGAATACACTTATTGGTAAACAAACACTTTTCTGTTGAAAACGTCGAAAAAAAATTCGTTCTTCAAGAAATTTGAATGAGGCTGAGATTTATGCAGAAAATATTTACATTATAATTAACACCGAATTACTTTTACGTTTTCTTTTAAAAACAATTACGACATAATATGCTTACAGGTCTTCAAGGAGGATACTAAATTCTGCTGTTTTTTTATGCTGTTTTGAGCAAGAATTGGTCACTTCTTGGTAAAAAAGTGGCCCGATCTCTGGTAGAAAAAACTAAAAAATTCTCTTATCAAGTTCGGTTTGATGAAAAATTCTGTGAAAGGTATGGACAAAAAGGAGAACACTTTGCTTACCCGAAAATGCATTGTTTCATTCTTAACCTAGGAGTTATTTCTAATGAACATGGACAAAGTTTCCATCAAATTCTTTCTCAAATGGAAAGGCAATATATAGGAAGGTGGAACGAGAACGTGTTAGCGAATTACTGCTGAACTCTAAGCGAAAGATTTCGGAAGAAGAGTATAAAAAGAATAAAACATTTCATTAAGTTGTTTCAGGTTTTAGCCGTGTAAAATTATGAATAAATAATAATTAACATAAATTTATTTGTATTTAATTAGCCAATTAACAATGTATGTAGCCAATAAATATGATATTTTGAACAGGAAATATTTTCCTTTAAGATGGATAGAGACTAAGGACCCGATTCGAGACTAGTGGATGATGGATGATCGATGATAGGTTAAATTCCTATATATTGGGTCCACATCATTCTTCTTAGTTTTACTTTGCACCATTGCAACATCTTCTCTTCTTTCTCATCTCTCCTTCAGAGATCCTCTTCTTTCGCATCTTTTTCTTCTCTCCTTCAGAAATCCTCTTCTCTCGCATCTTCTTTCTCTTCTCTCCTTTGGAGATTCTCTTCTTTCGCACCTTCTTTCTTTTCTTTCCTCGGGAGATCCTCTTCTTTCGCACCTTCTTTCTCTTCTCTCCTTCAGAAATCCTCTTCTTTCTCTCTTTCCTCAAAACTTAGAATGTAATCAGTGATCTGTTCTATTGGCTAAATCTCCAATAGAACAGACTTCCCTCAAATTTGAGATGTTCTAGTGATCACCTGGACGATCACTGATTACATTCTAAATTTTGATGAAAAGAGAGAAAGAAGAGCTCAATTCATGCTTACTACTAATAATTTGTCACGTATATGTCATTATCAAATGTCATCAAAATGTCGATGAGTTGTATCGCTTTCGTATAAGACAACTTGTCGATATTTCATTATTCCTTCTTATGATGGAAGTTTCTAAAGAGTTTCCTTTGTAGACGTTTCGGTTTGATTAATAAAACTTAATTTAATTTAACACTCTTGTAAGCTTACTTAAATAATCTATCGCATGCTTTAGAAAAATATCAATAAAGTTATACGAATTCTAAAAATATTTTGTCCCAAATCTTTCCGCTTGCCATTCAAAATTGCTCCCACGTGTCATGTTTAGAACGTGAATCATATGTTTTAGGAACTTTCCTGTATATTTTATGTCATCTGTAAAGTAGGTTTTCTCTCATAGTCTCTGCATGTTGAGGTCAAACAAACTAACAGTTTATTTCATAATTTTTTCCATTCATTTAATGAACGAAATAAATAATTATTTATGATTTCACTTTTTAATTTATGTTTTTAATAATAGAAACATATAAAACCATAGGTATTTATTTGTTTCTTCATTCATAAACAATTCGTTTCTTATACATACTGTATATATATTTTTTTTCTAAATAAAATATATAGAATGAAAACTTAATATACTTTATAAAATATAAAAAAAAGACTTTATATTTTATATAATAAAACTTATATTACAAATAATATATTTGTAATTACAGAGTATAATCTAAATATATAAAATTGCTTGTCCTGACTGACTCACTCATTCATTCACTGATTCATCATCGCCCAGAGCAAACCGCTTAACCTAAAGAGGTGAAATTTGGTACACAGTTAGGGTACGTCATGGAAACGCACACTAAGAAAGGATTTTTCGAAATTCCAACGCGGGGGGGTGAGGGAGAGCATTAAGGCTTAACCGGAAGAACGGCTTCTACTGCGCTATTTTAGATGCGATTTTTTGTTTTTATCTGCGTTTTAGTAGTGAATGCCATGGCAATGCACACTAAGAAGAGATTTTTAGAAAGTCCCCCGCGGGGGGTGAGGAAGAGCATTAAGTCTTAACCGGAAAAACGGCTTCCACTGTACTATTTTAGATGCGATTTTTTTGTTTTTATCTGTGTTGTAGTAGGGTATGCCATGAGAATGCATACTAAGAAGGGATTTTTTGAAATTTCCCCGCGGGGGGTGAGGGAGAGCATTAAGGCTTAACCGGAAGAACGGCTTCTACTGCGCTATTTTAGATGCGATTTTTTGTTTTTATCTGCGTTGTAGTAGGGTATGCCATGAGAATGTACACTAAGAAGGGATTTTTAGAAATTTCCCCGCGGGGGGTGAGGGAGAGAATATAGTTTTCATCGAGTACTTAGGTGTATTAAATTAATAACATTTCAGACATTGTTATAAATATTTTTATCCATTTCGATTTTAAAAATGTTCGAACCGTTTTAAATTCGAATTTGTTATTGCGTATTGGTTCGATTATAGAACGATTGTAAACGTTTCAGAAAATTGATCAAATTGAAAATAGTTCGTTTGATTTTCGGCAATTCTCTTCAGCGGTAGGTGTTATATAACAATTACTATGGTTATTGAAATATTGGATGTAAATGGGGTTTGCTTGCAAAACCTCCGCTGACGAAGTCGCGGGTAACAGCTAGTGAATATATATAATTAAAAATTATAAATATCTGTCATCTTGTTAACGAGGAAATATGAAGGAAAAAATAAATATTAAACAGCCTAAGGTAATTTTTTTTTAACTTGATACATAATAACGAGACTAAAAATAAAACTAATTTAAAATTTATAAGTGAAACAGGATAATTTTTAATAGATAAATATGCATAATAAACTGTTGCTGTCATTCTATGTGTTGATATGATTTTAATGTAAATTATTACATTTTTTTTAGCTCATAAGAACATTAAAATTCACTTTATAAATGTAATAAAATAATGCTTTATACTAATTACTACAGGTAAAGTACACTTGCCATTGTACTGTACCTATACATAATAGAACATACACATACTTTTGTTGAATTATAATTCATATTGTATGATATATACAACGTTATTTATAGATAAAGGAAATTTAAAATAAGAATATTTCTTAAATTTCCAGAATAAAAACAGAATATTTTTTTAAAAATATTTATTTATCCTATTTTTCTTCTATAAATGAATTAATTACTTATTTAATACCACGAAATTAAGAATTTCAAATGGAAATAATTATATATAATTTATTCAATTAATTAATTGAATATTTCATTTATTAAATATACGCTTAGTTGATGTGTTAATTCTTTATTTATTACACATATTCAAGAACAAAGGTCGTATGGTAAATAATTGTAAGTAGATCACATTATGTTATAAATATCCTTATTGTGATTTAAGAGTTTTATTAAGAAAACTGATATATATTTATAGTATCAAGAGTTATAATTATACAATAACAAAAACGTTGTTTAAATATTAAAAAAAAACGTATTAGTTTATTACAGTTACTTATTTTTAATGCCAATTATTCTTGGATATTTTTAGAGATTTTTTTTTTTTACTTTGGGAGTTTATTTTTATATATTACACTGAATTTTATATATTATATATTATATAAATATGTTAATTAACTAAATTAAATTATAAAATGTAATAGTGGATCAAGCTAGTCTATCTTTATCATACAAGTTGTCATTTTACTCTACTGTGTCGGCCTTAGCGTGACCTTTGACACTTAAATGTGATGTTTGGATGAGAAATTAGAGTTAATGATCATTCTTTTGTGTGTCATAAATCGCTCTACAACATTATTTTCAATTAATTTATTTTATTTTCGGGTATAAATGACATTATTAAGTAATATAAACGTACTTTACTTATTACTTTCGATTCAGGATCACGTTGAGATTGTTATTATTACAACGATTAAATATTTTATTGGCATTTATTTTGAATATAATATAATATAAATGTTAAGATTTGGTTATTTGTATTCACGTATTTAGGTTATTCAAGGAGAATTTTTTCTTTAAAGAGTAATGAATTTCTTTTACAAATCTCCGCAAACTGAAAGCATTTAGATCAAGAGATACGAGGTAATTTTTAGAAATAAACAATATAATATAGGCCTATATATATATATATTTTGTTACAAATAATTCTTTTATTCAAAAACATGTATAATTTTAAACAAAATCTGTTAAACAATAACACAATAATGAATATAAATTATGTAAATAAAAATCCATCAGTTGAGTGTTAACATATTGTTCAGATTGGTAATATTCTTTGCTATATAAACAAATATATTCGTGTTAAAAATAAGTACATGTTATGATTCAATTGATAGAATTTTATCATAAAATACTTATTAAATATTCTTTTTTTTAGTAAATACAGTACATAATTTCATGTTATATAGGTCTATATATATATAAAGATGTTACTTTGTCAGTGACTGGTTGAAAAAGCTTCTGATTCTTCGTTACGATCGTCAGATTCTTCATTTTTCTTATTAAATTGTTCTTTATATCTAATAAACCAATTATAAAATGTTTGTTTTTTCTTCTTTTTACTTTTATTATTATTAACTGTATTACCAATTAAACTTAATATCACAGGAAGTACAAATAGAGCGTGAAAAGCTGTAAGTACAGCTGTTAGAACGACTATTTTAAAAAAGCATTTGAAGGAATGTGCATCTTGAAATGCTAATACAACAACACCCAATATAGTTGAAACAGAACCTTGAAAAATGGGCCAACCCACTTCATATATAGATTGTACGAGTCGTTCGTTAGGATTTTTATTTTTGGCCATTACAAAAGCGAATGAAACGTGTGTAGGATAATTTATTGAAAATCCTACACTAAGAATTAAAAGAATTACTGATACCATATCTAAATTTACATTCCATAATGCCATATATCCAACAGTTTCGCATATTGTAGTAATAATAGCAATGGCAACACAAACGGCACATATAAGATTAGGTATAAACAGGAAAAATATTACTATAATTAATAATCCTATAACCCACGCTAACTGAAGAACAATTCCTCTTATTAACAATTCATGTTCCATAAGAGGAAAAAGTACACTGTGTGTTGATATAGACAAAGTTGATTCATCGCATATCTTCTGTAAATCCTGAATTAATTGTAATTCTATTTTTCTACTATACATATTTTTACATCCAACAATAAAACGACTGGCAAGTATTTCCGTATAATTATTATTAAAAAGAATATCATGTTTGAATTGTCTAGCGGGTGGTAAACGTAGAAATACATTAATTAAACCATCGATAAATTCCTGTTTATTAGTAAGATCGTAACCACCCAATGAAAATTTCGCTATTGAAGTATTAGAAAATTCTTTATAATATTTTAACCATGATAATGTTAGAAAAGGATCAGATGTATGAGAATGTTCTTCAATTTTACTTAAAATATCTTCTACTTTTTCTTGTATTTCGGGATCGGCATAATTTAATGTTTCATTAATTACAATTTGTAATGGGTATGGATATTGTGAAAAGTAATTTAAAGTTGTTAATATTGTATCTCTTGCAATCGATTTTGACTTTAAGAAATGTCCTATATCCATTCCATCTTCTAAATAAGTCATACCCCAAATTCCAATAATGAAATTAGTTATAAACAGAAACATTACTATTATTTTAACAGGAGGTAATATCAGAATAGATCCTAATTTATCTTTGAAGAATTTCATCATAAAATCTGTCTCTGTATTATCGAGTTCTCCCACTGGTTTATTCGTGTCTTCTTCAATATCTAAAATACAAAGAGACAATTGTACAATTTATAAGTAATAATTGACTTAAAAGAAATATAATTCTATGAAAATTATCTATACAGTCGACCCCCCTATAACACTGTTGATTACAGTTGAGCCCCCTATAAAACAATATAATATATATATATATATTTGTTACAAATAATTCTTTTATTCAAAAATATGTATAATTTTAAACAAAATCTGTTAAACAATAACACAATAATGAATATAAATTATGTAAATAAAAATCCATCAGTTGAGTGTTAACATATTGTTCAGATTGGTAATATTCTTTGCTATATAAACAAATATATTCGTGTTAAAAATAAGTACATGTTATGATTCAATTGATAGAATTTTATCATAAAATACTTATTAAATATTCTTTTTTTTAGTAAATACAGTACATAATTTCATGTTATATAGGTCTATATATATATAAAGATGTTACTTTGTCAGTGACTGGTTGAAAAAGCTTCTGATTCTTCGTTACGATCGTCAGATTCTTCATTTTTCTTATTAAATTGTTCTTTATATCTAATAAACCAATTATAAAATGTTTGTTTTTTCTTCTTTTTACTTTTATTATTATTAACTGTATTACCAATTAAACTTAATATCACAGGAAGTACAAATAGAGCGTGAAAAGCTGTAAGTACAGCTGTTAGAACGACTATTTTAAAAAAGCATTTGAAGGAATGTGCATCTTGAAATGCTAATACAACAACACCCAATATAGTTGAAACAGAACCTTGAAAAATGGGCCAACCCACTTCATATATAGATTGTACGAGTCGTTCGTTAGGATTTTTATTTTTGGCCATTACAAAAGCGAATGAAACGTGTGTAGGATAATTTATTGAAAATCCTACACTAAGAATTAAAAGAATTACTGATACCATATCTAAATTTACATTCCATAATGCCATATATCCAACAGTTTCGCATATTGTAGTAATAATAGCAATGGCAACACAAACGGCACATATAAGATTAGGTATAAACAGGAAAAATATTACTATAATTAATAATCCTATAACCCACGCTAACTGAAGAACAATTCCTCTTATTAACAATTCATGTTCCATAAGAGGAAAAAGTACACTGTGTGTTGATATAGACAAAGTTGATTCATCGCATATCTTCTGTAAATCCTGAATTAATTGTAATTCTATTTTTCTACTATACATATTTTTACATCCAACAATAAAACGACTGGCAAGTATTTCCGTATAATTATTATTAAAAAGAATATCATGTTTGAATTGTCTAGCGGGTGGTAAACGTAGAAATACATTAATTAAACCATCGATAAATTCCTGTTTATTAGTAAGATCGTAACCACCCAATGAAAATTTCGCTATTGAAGTATTAGAAAATTCTTTATAATATTTTAACCATGATAATGTTAGAAAAGGATCAGATGTATGAGAATGTTCTTCAATTTTACTTAAAATATCTTCTACTTTTTCTTGTATTTCGGGATCGGCATAATTTAATGTTTCATTAATTACAATTTGTAATGGGTATGGATATTGTGAAAAGTAATTTAAAGTTGTTAATATTGTATCTCTTGCAATCGATTTTGACTTTAAGAAATGTCCTATATCCATTCCATCTTCTAAATAAGTCATACCCCAAATTCCAATAATGAAATTAGTTATAAACAGAAACATTACTATTATTTTAACAGGAGGTAATATCAGAATAGATCCTAATTTATCTTTGAAGAATTTCATCATAAAATCTGTCTCTGTATTATCGAGTTCTCCCACTGGTTTATTCGTGTCTTCTTCAATATCTAAAATACAAAGAGACAATTGTACAATTTATAAGTAATAATTGACTTAAAAGACATATAATNAAAACAATTTCTTTGATCAAAAACAATTTCTTTTGATAAAAAACAATTTCTTTTGATTAAAAACAATTTCTTTGATCAAAAACAAATTCTTTGATCAAAAACAATTTCTTTGATCAAAAACAATCTTTAAAGAATTTCATCCTTAATTCCATCCTTTGAAGAATTTCTTCCTTAATTGATCAAAAACAACAGTTTCAATTGTTTTGATCAATTAAGTTGAAACAACAGTTTCAATTGTTTTTGATCAATTAAGGAATATAATCTCTTATTTTAAAATATGAAAATTTAAATAATTTAATTCACTTAGATACTTTCTTTTACCTCATCACTGTAAAAAATAGAAAATTATAGCGATTATTATTCTTTAATAATTACAAAAAGTATCATTAGCTGTACAGGTAAATAATAATACTCTTTAATTTTATTTTAAACTAAATAAAACTTTCAGAGTTCAATATCTTTTGAATAACGTTTGTTTAATGAATTTTAATGAACTTACTATATTTAATTGTTTATTAAAAATATACTCACGACATTTTCTTAAAAGACAATATGTATTAATATAGAAAGAATGTATTTTATTAACTAAAAAGTTTTGTTTAACTATAATTAAGGAAGTTTAACTCTTTTTTTCATTAAAAACAGCATCAATTTGCCACAAGAAGAATACAGATTACTCGAAAACTTATTCCTCCAGATATAGGAAAAATATAAGTAACGAAGAGAAATGAAATTCATTATAAATGTATTAAATAAATAATGAAATTATTTATTCATTTCGATTAATACACTACAGTTAATATCAAATGTAAGAATTTATCTCAATAATTTTACATTAATATTTAAAATACTGCATAACAATGCTGTGTCTTTTACATGTAAATTCTGTTTAAAAATAGTAACTGCTACACTCCTATTAAACAAATTTGTGTAAATATTTACGATATTTGTGTAAAATTATAAATATTATATTAATAAAAGAAAAAAAATATTTATTTTAATTTATTTAAAATTGTATAAAATTAATTAAATGATGAAGCAATTATGCAAATTCAACAAAATAAATTTAATGTGATTTAATAGATTTAAAGATATGTTCAACAATCTTGAAACACTTGGAGCAATTTTCTTAACAAAATAACATACAAATAATATACGATAGTACATTTTACCAATTACAAGTCGACCCCCCTATAACACTGTTGATAATTCCGTTTTATATGAATTCCATGTTGTACGAGTCACTTAGATTTTACAAATATGTGAGCCGTTCACAGCCCAGCACACGTATTTGTAAAATCTAAGTGACTCGTACAACATGGAATTCATATAAAACGGAATTATCAACAGTGTTATAGGGGGGTCGACTTGTAATTGGTAAAATGTACTATCGTATATTATTTGTATGTTATTTTGTTAAGAAAATTGCTCCAAGTGTTTCAAGATTGTTGAACATATCTTTAAATCTATTAAATCACATTAAATTTATTTTGTTGAATTTGCATAATTGCTTCATCATTTAATTAATTTTATACAATTTTAAATAAATTAAAATAAATATTTTTTTTCTTTTATTAATATAATATTTATAATTTTACACAAATATCGTAAATATTTACACAAATTTGTTTAATAGGAGTGTAGCAGTTACTATTTTTAAACAGAATTTACATGTAAAAGACACAGCATTGTTATGCAGTATTTTAAATATTAATGTAAAATTATTGAGATAAATTCTTACATTTGATATTAACTGTAGTGTATTAATCGAAATGAATAAATAATTTCATTATTTATTTAATACATTTATAACGAATTTCATTTCTCTTCGTTACTTATATCTTTCCTATATCTGGAGGAATAAGTTTTCGAGTAATCTGTATTCTTCTTGTGGCAAATTGATGCTGTTCTTAATGAAAATAAGAGTTAAATTTCCTTAATTATAGTTAAACAAAACTTTTTAGTTAATAAAATACATTCTTTCTATATTAATACATATTGTCTTTTAAGAAAATGTCGTGAGTATATTTTTAATAAACAATTAAATATAGTAAGTTCATTAAAATTCATTAAACAAACGTTATTCAAAAGATATTGAACTCTGAAAGTTTTATTTAGTTTAAAATAAAATTAAAGAGTATTATTATTTACCTGTACAGCTAATGATACTTTTTGTAATTATTAAAGAATAATAATCGCTATAATTTTCTATTTTTTACAGTGATGAGGTAAAAGAAAGTATCTAAGTGAATTAAATTATTTAAATTTTCATATTTTAAAATAAGAGATTATATTCCTTAATTGATCAAAAACAATTGAAACTGTTGTTTCAACTTAATTGATCAAAACAATTGAAACTGTTGTTTTTGATCAATTAAGGAAGAAATTCTTCAAAGGATGGAATTAAGGATGAAATTCTTTAAAGATTGTTTTTGATCAAAGAAATTGTTTTTGATCAAAGAATTTGTTTTTGATCAAAGAAATTGTTTTTAATCAAAAGAAATTGTTTTTTATCAAAAGAAATTGTTTTTGATCAAAGAAATTGTTTTTGATCAAAAGAAATTGTTTTTGATCAAAAGAAATTGTTTTCAATCAATTATTATTTTTAGCAGTTTTGACTGAAGTTATTCACCTTTTTTGTTAAAGTGTTTCCTTTCAAGCTTAATTCTTGTGATTCTGTAATTATCATAAAATTAAATTGTTACCTTATAAACAATTAGAAATTATTTTTAAAATATAAGAATATTACAAACAATTCTAATTATATTCTATATACTTTACATAAATTTATNATTGAAAATTGTATAGTTTTATTTTAAAATAATCAAATGACTTACCTAATACAAGGAACGGTAAAGTAATATTTAAATCTGTAGTTTTTAATCCACAAATAAAAAGAAAACCAAAAGCAGCAACGATAGCTAAACCTGCAGAAAGACAACTTGCCACTCCGAGCCATGGCTTGCTCTTCACCCAACTGTCTGTCATACAAGTTAACATTGAAAACAAAGCAATAGTTATTCCAACATAAAATGTAAGAGGTAGAAGATCATCCGTGAAAGACGTTACTTCAGATATTAAAGTTGTCATTCCCGAAACGATTATGGTAATTTCTTCAAAATCAATGTTTCGTAATCTAATTAAAATAGCTTCTTCCCAATTTTTAATCATTTCTTTCTTTGATTTATTACTACTATCAAATGGATATAATAATCTTATCGCTTTGACGTTTTGTACATAGCGATCGTTATCAACTGTTACTCCTCCTAAATTAACAATATGCCGTGTATAAGAATAAGTAAATAAATCTAAATCTAGTGGATATTTAAAATGATATTTTCCTTCTTCAATCGTTTTTATCCTTGGTGCTAAAGTAAAAACGGGATTTTCTAAACATTTTCTTTCATTAATTGCACAAATTACGTCGTATGTAACGACGTTATTTTCCCAAGTAATGCTGAAATTTTTTATTATTTGATCTATTAATAATAATTCTTTAAATATCTTTTCAGTAAGCATATTTTCTCCATTTTTCGGTATAGTTATAATCATGATTCCTTCCGGTTGTGCAGAAACTCTAAACACATCTAAATTATACGATGTGTTCGTTGGAAATAATGCTTCTATAATTTTCGAATTATGTACGGCATTACCTTTTTCGGCTGTAAACAAATATGCCAAGTCTCTATTATATTCAATCTTTATAATTCCGATGGATAAAATGGCACATAAAAGACACGGTATAATAACAAAGTATAAAGGATGTAATCCTATAACGTGACCCAAAGATTTTAAAACTATGGATAAGTTCTTCTGCACGTAATTGAACTTCATTTTTGTTTTATCTATAATTTATAAAAGAAAATATTAGATATTATCATTAGACATATATACAGTCGACCCCCATAACACTGTTAATTATTCCGTTTTATATGAATTCCATGTTGTACGAGTCACTTAGATTTTACAAATACGTAAGCAGTTTATAGCCCGGCACACATATTTGTAAAATCTAAGTGACTCGTACAACATGGAATTCATATAAAACGGAATTATCAACAGTGTTATAGGGGGGATCGACTGTATTTTTATTTTCATATAAAGCTATGAATTGTGTAGACCCAATACTAATGAATTTAATATTGGGTCTACAAGATCGATTTTCTCATTGATTCTAATACGTTTCTCGTGCTTTATAACCATTCTATTTTGTAATTTATGCTTTAAGTTTCTTGTGTGCACAAGCATAAACAATGCTAAAGCAAAAGAAGTGATTAAAATATGTGAATTAAAGCAAATGAAAATATTGTATTAGCCCGAATGAAATGCAGATTCCAGCTAAAAGCTGAACATCTCTAAAAAAGAGATTGGAATGGGCTAAAAAACCACACGTATGAATGGATGTTTGTCTTATTTTCAGATGAAAAAAAAAATGGAAATTGGATGGTTCAGATAGTCAAAATTATAATAAAAGTTTATATAATATTTAAATGTTATTGACTTACAACAAATTTTCCAAAATACAAAAGGATGAATCCTTTCTTTTTCTCTGTATCCACTCAATGCCATACATCCTCCAAAAAAAGTAATCTGGAATATATACGTAAAGAAAATGCATGCCGAAGCATAAATGCAAAACATTCTGACTACAGGAAAAGGTGCCGTAATCCCAATAAGAAATGAAAGGAAATTGGTAAGAGACGTAATTGTAATTGAAACTGCTGCTTCGGAATAAGATTCTCCTAATCTTCTCTCTACACTATAACTTGGATTCGTTCTTCTCCACGCTGCTATTAAGACATACGTATCATCTGTTTCTGTTGCTAAAAGTGAAAGATTTTATTATTGTTAATTAAATATTTTCAAAAATTCAAAATTAAAATACCACAGATATATATATAAAATGTATTAAATGATTAATTTCAGGAAGATAGCTTTTAAAATAATTTTAAAAATAGAATATGAATTATGCAAGAAGGAAATACTGCATATGCCTACATGAATTTCGTATTCGTAAGAATATTTTCCTTACTTAATACGTATTAACTTTCTTTTTCAAACTGAATGTTAGTAAATAAAAGATAAAGAATTAAGAGAAGTTTTCATAATTATTAATTCAAAATTTAATAATAATAATTATTATTAATAGGAATGTAAAATTTCTAATAAGAATTTTCTATAACTATTTATAATTATTTAATGAGTTAGGGAAAGTATANTATTTGTTACTTAAATTTATAATTAAGAAAATGCTTATTTACATTAATTAATTGATCTAACAAGCAATTTAATAAACTTTAAAATCATATAATACAGACTAAATGAAATTTAACACAGTTTATTCTATTGAATCTGATAAAGATAATTAGGATATATTGTTTTATTTAATAGATTGAATATGACATTTCCTATTCTAAACTATAATCTACAATTATGATAAATCATCTACTTGATCTTGGCAATATCTTATATAATATGATTGATTCATTAATAGGCTACTATAAATAGATATAGGTGATTATTGTTATGTTTGTATGTAAATATTTTATTGTAAATTTTATAAAACACATCCACAAATTATTAAATTGAAAAATGTTATTGGATACTTACATTAATTTGATGAATTATTTGCATTATATATTTACCATTAAAGAATGTCCGAATTAAATCTGAAAGAACATTTTATCCTCCGTTAGATAAAAGCTATGTACTGTACAATTTTCCATTCTTCCTTCTGTTTATCCTAGAAAAGAAGCAGATGAAAATCCAATCTTTTCTATAAAATACTTTCATTGACTAAAGATACATATTTATTTCTCTCGGTGACAGATTGTAAATACCATTTGTCAAATGCAATGTCTATGAATACTTTAAGAACCTCATCATTCCTAGATTGTCTTTTGCAATATACTTTCACTTTTAAGTTTTCATCAGTGACATTACACGTACATTATCAGGATTGTGTAAATTTTAAATGAAACAAGGAAGTATATGTATTCTTCCTTGTTCCTTTTGCGACTGGTTGTTAAGCTACTTTTCTAAAAGATACCCAATGCGCCGTGATCATATTATTGAGGTCAAACTGACGAAAGAATTTCTGCCATTCTATATATATACTTGGTCATCAAAATATACTTTCATCCCAGAATTTATAACACACAAAACTTATCACTTTATTATAAATCTTTATCGTCATATTTGATACCATTTGCAAGAGAAGTGAAATCGTACGAAATTGTATACTTCAATAATAAAATCACATTAATTTTGATGATATTCTTATTAATCTCTAATTACCATAATGTAACAATTAGATTGAAGAGAATATAATCCAATTATTATTGTCATTTAAAAATAAATTTCAAGTGACATTTCATTCTTAATGTCTAAAGATATTACTCTTAAAGACATTCATCATTTAATGTATTATTTTCAATAAATTGTAATGTAATATTCAGTATATTTTTCACTATTATTATATTAAAAATAATTCGAATAGTTATTTATAGGTTTTAACTTGATTTTTTTAATATTATTTTAAGGTTATAAACGAATAAATCTTTATGATGTACAAGGTAAAATAATAGGTAGTTTCTGTAATACATTACAGAAACTACATTTACTAGTATTATAATTAACTTAGATTATTCTTCATCTCTTATGTGTAGATCATTTGTAACCATTCTATTCTTAAACCTTCATCACTTTTTTTTTCTTTTCAGACTTTTTTCCTTATTAAAACTTCCTCTTATATGGGTGTATTTTAATAGGCAATGCACCTACTAAGAATTGTATATTCAAATTAATATAGAAAATATAAATAATATCAATACGAATAATTGAAAAAGTATTAATATAAGAATAAAAATAATTAAATACGTATGATTTTTATGAATTTTTTTTTACAATTTATAATTTCGTGAATTTAAACTCGACAATATAATTTAAGTGTAACATTCAAAGAAAAATTTATATATAAATTAACTAATGATAGAGGAAACTATAATAAAAACTTAAATATCGTGATCAAAAACTTGTTTATAAGCGTGTTAGAGATAAGAAATTGCCTCCAAACATCTTTAAAATATCAAAAATGCTAAAATGTTTTAAAAAGTAATGTAATTTATTTATTTATTTAGCTTTTAAGAATAACTTAATCTTAATTATATTTAAATAATATATATCGTATACATGTCTAAAATATATATATATATATAAAAATCCTAAATAGCTTATACAAATAAAGTATAATCACCTTCATATAAATGATATAAATATAAGGCAATTTATTAATTTTTTTTTAAAGTATATTTTATCAATTTTTAAGACAGATAAAACGATCTCAATTGTTAAATTATTATTTAACACGTATATATAACGATTAACACTGTATAATGTGAGTTAAAACTTCGATTTAAGAAACTAATAGAACATAATATAACATAATATAAGTCTATCACGAAAGGAAAAAGTTACTTCCTTCGAAGAAGTAATCATTGGTCATTTTATGGTTGATTCCTTGATATAAGCATCATAAATTGCTTTTTAACTCTTCGTTTTGTTATCGTAACGATTTTGCGAGTGATTTAAACCTCTTTATATAATCGAATCACCACGAAAGAGATTAATATCCATATATAATTATCGCTGAATATATGACAAGCAAACAGACAATATGTTTTATATATAATATATATTTATAAATTGTTTATCCTTTTTATTACTAAAAATAGAAATAAAATATCTTTATACAAAATCTATTTTGATTTTTAATAGCATGTTTACAAGGGAAAAATTATTTAAGCATATAAAATCGTATATCAATAAATCGAAAACAATTTTTATTAATGTAAGGAAACTCTTGCATTAAAAATACANATTAACTAAGAAATTCAAAACTATAAATTAATAAAATTCTAAAACAAATTATTATTATTATTAAACTTTAAGTTATATATTACACAGTATAAATGTTAATAAATTAAAAGTAATTTCTAGATAATACTTACTGTATTTATATATAAATTATATATATATTTTCTAACCCAACTTAAGTAATAATATCCTGTTTAAGTTACTTTAATTCTATTTCTTAATGAGAGAAAGAGATTTTAATTATGTTAGAAACAGTCTAATTTACTAAGATTTGAAATATTATTATGTTTAAATTGAAACTTTATGTAATGTTTAAACTAATTAAAACTATTATAATAGTAAAATTCCTTTAAACATTTAAGAAAATTATGAAAACAGTTCACGATTCTCGTATTTAGTTTGCTAGTTTTCCTAATTTGAATTCAAACCAAGTGTTACCTGTTTTAAAATATATATTTTTTTTAAATAAAAGTTAAATAGTAACTAATTTTTTAGATTTATAACTTGATTTTTATCTTAAATTTATTTATTTATTTTTTATTCTTAAGAATTTAGAAGAAAATCGTCATTTTATTCGATGATAATAGTTTTATTGCTTTATATTTTTATAAAAGAATAAAAGAAATAGACGATAACTAGAATAGATAAGAATTAGAATTTTACCTTTTTCCTAAGACAATAAAACTGTTCTTATCTGAATTAAAATTTTATCAGTAGTCTACCAGTTGGGGTTCATCGTTCTAAAAATGTGTAATAATTACCTCATTTTTAGTTAGAAAGTATTCGTGTTAACTTTAATCAACTGTAACAGAGAACATAATTAATGATATTAAAGGTAAAATTGATAAATTTTTAACATTTAAATTAGAGTTTTGAACTCATTTTTAAGTAATATAAAAGTCTAATTCCTCATTCATTTGGATTTGTATGAATATATTAAATGTTAGAATAACTACAAAGTCGACCCCCCTATAACACTGTTGATTATTCCGTTTTATATGAATTCCATGTTGTACGAGTCACTTAGATTTTACAAATACGTGTGCCGGGCTGTGAACGGCACACGTATTTGTAAAATCTAAGTGACTCGTACAACATGGAATTCATATAAAACGGAATTATCAACTGTACTTCTATTATATAGTTGTTATAACACATTACCATGTAATAATTCCTATTTTTTGAGCAACATATGACATTTGGCATGCTAAAAATTCGAGTTTTCATGCTTTAAACATCATCATCATCATCATCTCAAGTGAGATTTGTACAAAAAAAAAATGGGGTCAGTAATAAAATTAAGTTTAAATAATATAAAGTTTTTTATTTATAAAGAAGATCATCATCATCCAAAATAAAAATATTAAAAGATATTTAACCAGAAATTATTATTATTATTATTATATAGAAACTATAATCACGTACGTATTTAAATGTGTGAAATTATTAAATGATTTATAACTGGAATAGAAATTTCTATGGTAATAAAATTTTACCATGACGAAAGGGAAAATTTTAAATTGTTTAAGGAACATTATATACCCTTTAGCTATTCTGCTTTATTATTAAAATCTATTTATATATTTCGACCCGGTATATATTTCCTTCCGCAAAAAACAAGTCATCACAAGAGATTATAAAAGAGTTATTGCATTTGATGCTATCCTATTTTTTTTTTAAAAAAAAAGGTGAACTAATTCACATATAGTTTAATAATATTACCATTAAATTATATTATATTTAAATAAAATATAATAATTATTATATAACTTATATTGTAGATCTAGTGTCTAAGGTAAGTCGTAACTTTTTTAATTTATTACCTCCTCATTATGTTTTATATAATTTAAAATAATAAATTAATTTTCTTTTATAAAATTATAATGATAAAAAAAAAGAATTTAGGTATAAGTTTCAACGGAAATAGACCCAAAAACAATGGATAAAAATGGCTAAACAATTGTTCTTTGGCTAGCATTAATGAAACCAATTTATCACAGTAAGAAAATAA